TCAATCAGCTAAGTGACAAATTTTATATTTGTATTAGTCCTATACATATATATTAATTTGCAACACTTTTCTACATAGACATGCATGATAAATTGTCCATTTGTATGCAATGCACATATTTTTACTAAAAATAATATATTAAAGAAACTTTAAAATTATAACTAGATCTGTAGATATCTTATTTTAACATATATAATCTTTATATATATAAATAAAGATTATATCACTATATAGTGCTTAACTATGCCAGCATTACAATAAACTGACATATTTTCAAATTAAATAATGGTCAGTATACACTGAAGATTGCATTGGGCATGAAATGTTGTCGTGCAAATGGTGTGGGATATATACAATATTCATTTGTTAGCTTCATTTAATTTTGCAGTAGTCCCCAGGTATACTAATACAGAAACTATTGAATGAAGTAATGTTTAAAATGTGTTGAAAATTGTTATTGTGTGGCAGTGTTCATTTTATGCTGGGCCCACACACATGCATTATATATATCTTGAAAGGGTGATAGAAGTTTACAAGATGACATACTTCCCAAAATGTAACTAAATGACCATACAAGATTGGGAGGGGGACAGAGAACCTTTTAGCATCCCCTCTGTATAAGGGTTTGTATGTGAATGTATATAATACAAAATTGGCAAAAACTTGGAAAACAGAATTGGCAAACAGTTTAAATTCCATTTTCAATAATACCCTTGGGGAAAGGCACAAATCTAATTCTCCCTGTACTATCTCATGATGCAGTCCTTGACATACAAAGACGAAAGAAAAGGAAATGTACATGAATTATCCAAAGATTATCTGCCCAGATAATGGAAGCAAAATGGTTTTATATCCAGTTAATTGGATTTGAAGGCCAGTGCTTGTTTTTTATGGGGCTTTTAGTTTAGAAATGCTTGTTCAGAAATAAGCATGCTGGTCTTGCAAACGATTAAAAATAAACTTTGGACTCACCGAGTACTCTAGAAATGAAGCCTTGTGCCAGCATTTGATAAGAAATTTACATTTTTTTGTGTTAATGAAATACTATAATATTAAAGAACTAGCTAGACAGAATACCAATTGGCTTTATAAAAAATATCAATACACAAGTGGTGTCATTAACAAAAATGAAATGAGGAAAATTTGGCATTTGAACAATTTCAAATTCAGGAATCTAAAGAAAAAAAAATGTTATGGTCATATTTTATTTCCTTCCGGTTTTTGTGTGAAGAAAAATATTTTGTACATGTGAAAAGATTTTTGTTTTTGTTACCAAAATGAATCATTTTTAGTTAAGCTATACAATCTGCATGAGTATCAACAGCAGAATTTTACTGACAGTGTCTCCATAATTAATGTCTTGTGCCAAAACAAACACCAATGTGTTGCCAAAGGTTGATAAGATATTTTGATATTTAAGTGCCTGTTGTTCCACTAGTTAAACATTTTCAGATACTTGCCTCTCTCTCATATATATATATATATATATATATACACACACACACACACACACACAACAAATGTTTAAAAAAAAAAAAAAAAAAAACATAAATAAATAAAAAAAATCAAAGGCAGACAGCAGAATCTATTAGTTCAGCCTTTGAAGATGTATAACATCCATCTCATACTGCAATCCAAACAATATTCTTTAAAAAAAAAAAAAAAAAAAAAAAAAAAAGTATACTAAATAATGTAACCTAAATGCCTAAGACATTTCAGTTAACCTGATGAATATTTATAAGTATCCTTAAATTTAAAAATTTTTTCAAAGATACTATATGATCTAATCTCACCTAAACTTTTCAGTTAACCTGATGAATATTTATGAGCATTTTTAAATTTGCCTTGATAAAGTCCATCGGATGATAAAACACATTGGCTAAGTTTTCTTCTTGTCTTTTTATTCATAATAAATATATTATGAATAAAAAAATGAGAAAAATTATACTTAGTCTTAGCTGATGCTAGTCATATCAATTTATACTGAATTTCATAAACTTTGTGAAACCATGTCTCAGCACAAAAAAGTTAAGTCAGTTATCTTGTTACTTTCTTAGTTTCCAAGTATTTTTATTATTCTGATTATTATTTTCAGTTTTACTGTTAAAAAAATGTTCTAGCTCCTAAGTTCTTTGGATAAAGCATTATGATGTTAAAATAATAGTTCAAATAATACATAGAGTAATAAATTATATTTTCTTGTATTTGGCCTCGAGAATAAATGGGATATTTTTAAGCTTTTGATTAATCATTTTTATTATTTTATTACTAGTTTTAGTGAATTTTCATGCACATAAATGTGTATGTTGATGTTATTGTTATACATGAGTGACTGCCATGAACTTGTGCCATTTATTGCACACACGCAATTTGACTGAGTCTAAAATAAGACATTGGAATAATACCCTCCCACCCAGGCTAGAAAACCCTTATCCAAGCCTATACAATAAAATCAAAGTTGAGAACAATTCATTTTTTTTAAACCCAAAAAATCTAACAGGTATCAGATGTTATTGAACTTTTTTGAAATTAAGGTGTAAGAATTTTTTTTTTCTTTTTTATTAGTGCCATTTTTTAAATTATTAAATGGTTGGTATTTGATGAATAAAAAAAAGAAGTGGATACTTCTAAAAATAAAAATAAAAAAAAAATAAAACAGTTTGAACAAAATTTAAATTAATTCGGAAATAAAAAATAATTACACACACCAGCTTAATTATTTTGTTCAGGAAAAAATAAATCAATAAACAAAAAAATGGACATTAATAATTAAAAATTATTAGCTTTTTTTTGCTAAATCCGAAATTTAAACGAAAAGAAAAGAGTAAAATATGTATTTTCTTATTTCTTTTATTTGGTAGACTAAGAAAATCTCAGACTCTCCTCAGTGGACGTAATTGTAACATTGTGAAATGACACTGTTGATGTCAGATTCAGAAGGAAATTCTAAAACTGAAACGAAGACTGAGAGATAGTCAAGGAGAGTGAAAAAAAGAAATGACTAACCATTAACACTAAAAAGAAAACAGAATGCATGGTTGTACGCAAAAGGACAACAAGGTGTGAGAATGAGTTAAGTATCGACATCAAAATCAAGCAGGTTGGGGAAAGTTTTCTGGATAACAGACGACAGAAAGTGACACAGACATCAGAAGGGGACATAGATCATAGAAAAGTTGCTTTTTTTTAATTTTCAGAGACTTTAGTTTAAAATTATTCAAAGCTCAGAAAATGTTCTTAGAAACAAAGAAAAGAATGCCGGAAAACTGTTGTAATATTTTTAATCTTATACGGCCAAAAATGCTGGATAATTTCATCACAAATGAAGAGAAGACTTGAAGTGACAGGTATGGTCCGACTGACGAATGTTGGGACTATACTATGATGTGAAACGTATAAGTAGTCTCAAGACTAGAGAATAGAAACGTCAAAGAAATACTGCTAAAATAAGAGAGCTGAAATTTTTAGGATATATGAGGAAAAAAGACTGAATTTTTAACACAAGATACATCGAAGGCAAGAGAAGCAAGTGAGAAAATTTGAATTTTAAAAAAAATGGATGGCAGAACAAAGTGAAAGCAGGGGAGAGGGTCATAAAGGATCAGTAAAGAAAGTTGTGGAGAGATATGATCATCCACGTCTTGAAATAAGAAGAGCACATTGAAAAAGCCTTTGATTTATTTATAGCTGGAGAAATTTTGTTCGAAGTAATAAATAAAAAATATTATCTACTTGCCTAAAAACAAATGACACGATTAGTTTGCAACTTCAGCATAAAAAGTCAAAAAGAAAAAGAAATCGACTAAGAAATTGCTTGTGTAGTTCTTAACTGTTTTATTAGCCCAAATTAAAGTGACCTGACCCTCAACATGACACACCCGCCTATTTCTTTTGAGAGCTTTTCCGCATCCATCCAGAAGATATGAAAAAAAAATGTTCTTCGTATTTTTTCATTGTTGTCTCTCTCTTTTGCATGGTTTTTAATTTAAAAACCAGAGTGAAAAAAAATGTTCAATATTTTTATCTGGTAAAAATTTGTTAATTAGTTTATAATTGGACAGATGAATAAAATTTCTGCGATTATTTCATTTTTTAATTTTAAAAGTTAAAAACTTTACTTTAAGGAAGCAAGGTTAGACGTTTTTGTTTTTTTTTAGAGAAATGTCAAGTTGACTCCACAGAAACAGGTTTGTTTTTAAATTTTAAGCACCTTTCCGTGTTTGATTATTGCATTCAAATCATTTATTTTAACTTCCTTTTTAGTAATTAAGATAATTCATTCATTTCTAAACTAGATTTTATTTAATCAAATTTTTAAAAAAAAAAGTAAAAATTCTACTTCACTTCGGACTGCTTCTTAAAAAATGGGAAGTTTCTTTGGTGGGGATAATATTTTAAAACCAAGAGACTATATTGCAATGAAATAATCAACATCATTAAAGGTTAACAACAGTAAGAAAAAGTCTACATTTTTTTATACCTAATATATCCTTTCAAGATGTAAGCGATCATGTCTCTCCACTCCACAGATTTTCGCATTCATCTTCTTATATCTAAGTTACCGTGACTTAGGAAAGATACTGGCTGGAGTGGTTTCCTGTTGCTTTCGCTAGGGTTTGAAATGCAGTTTTCCTTCTCTTTACACCTAAATATCAGCACTTTAATTTGATTACATTTAAAATGATTTTTTAATTAAAAACAAATATTTGTATAGGATGTCAACAAGAAACTGACGTAGATGAACACAAGTCATTTATTCTATTCATTATTGAAGCAGAAGAGTAAATATAAACATAAGCAATGAAGTAGTGTCAATATTTTCAAAAAAAATTTTGAAATGTTTACTTTCTATAATTAACATTGCAAGTGTCAGTTTTATATTGAAAAATATTTTAATTCAGTTTCCCTGTCAATAAAAAGAGAAGTTTTGAGCACAAGACGATGTTAAAGAAATTAAGCGATCAGTGTTTTTAGTTTTACTGTTTACAAATAATACTTACCCTTGGCAGAGACAAGACAAATGTCCAGTAGTAAGATAACAAAAATGGGAATTAATTTGCCAAACATTTTTGGTAGAAAAACGGAGATGCAGCAGCAAGGTTATAAAAGTGCGGGTTTCAAGTCTTTGGAAGAAGAAACAAAAAAAAATATAACTCCTTTTTTTTACTTTACTGGTCCATAGTACTACGTACGTGACTAGTATTTGCTAAGTAGGAAAAGAAAGAAGAAAAAAAGGAAGCAGTATGTAAAAATAATAAGAAATAAAGTGAGGAAGATGTTTTAGTGCTGAGACGAGGAAAGGGGGAGATGGTGCCACATCAGCAAGTTACTTGATACCTCGCTGATTAAGAATAATAAAAAAAACGCCTGGAGTAGACGAGAGAGAGAAAGAAGAAGTTAACACGTATAGAAAAGAAAAGAGCTTCGAGAAGCTAACTCTCACACGGTGCCATATTGGCTTGATGCCGTTTCCGATTTACAACGTCACTTCCGTTTACACTTTATTTTCCTTCCTTTGTTTCACTATTTTTTTTTACTCTTAAATTTTCTGTAGATTTGACTTTGTCAGCATTAATCTTCTTAAAGCACCAAACAAGCACTTTTGTTACTTTTAGTTTTATTCGTCACCACTTTTTATTCCGTTATACCATAGTTTATTCAATGTATGGATGACCTAAAAATATTTATTTCTTAATGACAAAAAAAAGTAATTAGTGTTCCGAAAAAGTTACAAATGAGATAGTTCGATGGATTTTCCTTTTTGTCTTAGGTTTTCACAAATTAGTTATTCATATCAATAAAATCTCATCAATTCATTATTTACAAAATTAGATAAATAAATAACCATGATAACAAAAAGTAAAGTGTGTCTTGAAATTTTCATCACTTCAGAGTTCAGACATTGTTTTAAAAAGCATCTTCTCAGATAAAAATAAAACATGGATGAAATAAGAAAAAATAACGTAATAATTATTTTTTTATTGTGATCATTTTGTACGCCAGGTTATCCATATCAAAATAAAAACGGATATCATCTTGGCTATAACTTCCAGTTTTGACATGCAAATAAATCAGCTGTTCCAATAAGATTCGCGATACCTAAGGTTTTAAAATGAATTTTTAAAAATGAAAGGTTTTTCTTGAAGCTTTTATTTTAGTTTTAATTTCTAGCTAATACTTCCAACAAGCAAAATACTTTTCTGTATTTCAAAACTAATTTAAATTGACTGGAAGAAGTTTTTTTTTTTTAAATAGCGCCATTCTTAGCCATTGTTCATCGCAGTGTAATTTTCTTTATTAAAAAATCTCCCAAAATTAAAATATATTTTTCTGAAACTTTATTTGGGGAATATTAGCTGATTCAAAGTTTCATTAATCTGATTTGAAGCAAATATTACTTTAAGTTTAAAATATTGCCGAAATGCATTTTTTAACACATCAAAGCTGTTTATTTAAGGTGTTGACACCTTAAATGAGCGATGCATATTTATCTAATGTTTTTCTACAGTAAATATATCCGTAGAAAATAACTGAAGAATATAACGTGAGCGCCTTTTTAACATAATTTTTAACTAGTCAGTAATCTTAATGTCTTATTTTCTGATGTTGGGTATAAACATCCATATTTGTAAAAAAAAAAAAAAAAAAAAAAAATCGGCATGTTTATATACATACAAAAAAAGTTCAAAATTCTTTTTTAAATACTGGGGGAGGTCCCTAAACTTTAATAAGTTTTTTCGATTTATGATTAGTAAATATAGTTTTTACTTAATAAAAATATCACCTAACCGTTACAGTACACATTTAATGCAGTATTTTAAACGATTTAAAACTTTATACATTATTCTAATTAAAATTTTTAAAAATGAAAACAATTCTTGTAAAAATTAATTACTTAATTAATATAAACTATTTAAATTCAGTGGTCTAAGCTTAAAGTTTATAATAAACATTAAGCTTTGTCCCTGTAGTGTGTTCTGATAAAAATAAAATAAAATATATAAACAAAAAATAAAAAGAATTAAAATTAAAGTAAGGCACTGCGCTTTCCTTTACAACCCTAATCTCTTTCTTTCTCTACCCCCCTTTCATTCTCTCTATATACTTCTCTCTCAACTAACGAAAAGGCATCCCTCAAATAAGAAAAGGAAGAATAAAAGACTGAACCCGTCTGAAAAATCCGGAAGATTGCGGGACCAGAGCGTACTAATTTGTGACTGAGAACTACCAAAAATCAGGGAGGCTCCCCGCATAACTTCCGCTACATAAAAAAAAAATTAATAAATAAATAAATAAATGAAAAAGAAAGGGTCACCGGAAAATAGAGTAATTTGGGCCAATCAAAAAAATAACACAAAAAGACTTGTGATCTTAGCCGGAACCAAGATTCGCGCCAGTCTCGGAGCCTGGTCAAAAGGACCTAAGCTTGCACCTCTGAGCTAGACGAAGAGAGTGACAAGAGACGCGACCGCTAGAGAAACCAGCCAGGCGTGACGTGTCAACTACTCAAGAGATCATATGATAAATATATTTCTGCCCGTCTTAGGGCTGCGGCAAACATGCTATATTGACACTGACGTATTTCTAAGATGACTACTACCAATAGCGCGATCGGACTAAAACTACCACTACCGATCAGAAACGGATATTTCTCCAGACGGCTATCAATATTCGCCTTATAAACGAACATTTTGCTACACCGAATACCAAAGGGCTCACTCTAAAGCAAATAAATAAAAAAAATATCATTTATTTTATACCACTGAGTCAGTTCGTTTTATTGCAAAGTTTCCGGTAAATAAATACCAAGAACCACCTTGGCACAACATATCACACACCATTGAATTTCTCAAATAAAATTAAATGTGGATGATAACAGATGTAAAATATATATAAATTTCCAAAATAATGTAATTCATTTGTGAATAAGTCCTGAAAGTTTCGTTAAACTTCGACAATTATTTCATTTTTGCAAGAATTTCCAAATGAATGCTTTACACCGCAAAAAAGACGATAAAATTTGCTATGCTAATTTATAGTCTGCTCGCTGACGCAAGAAAAACAAGATTTTTAACCAAAATTTAGAACGTTCTAAAAAGGATTTAAAAATATAATTAAATAATAAAAAAGTACTTTGTTCCTTCCTCTTGATAATAACATAAGGATTTTGACAATAAAACTTTGTCTTAACCAAGTTTGGGGAATTTATTTCATCATGATATGATCTATTTTCAGCGAATTAGTGGAGGTACCGACGTTAAAGTAAATACGAAATGTCGTTCTTTTTTCATCAAATAATTTATTTTATACTACCTTTGATAATATAAAGAGAATACATTAAATTTTCTTTTCAATTTTGCTAAAAACAAATACAAAAAGTATTTCTTAAGAAAATGGAAACTTCTGACTAAATGCAGATACTTGAAGAATCTCCATTTCATTTTTATGCTAGTTAAATAATATCATTTAAGATTTTTAAATTTTATTTATTTTAATACCGAGCACTTCCGGGGCGTAGATTATCATGATTCGCCATGGATTTCTTTTTTTCCTTATTATCTGGGAATTGCGATGTTGGGAAAGATAGTGGAGTGGCTTCCGTTGTTTTCTCTACGGTTTGGAATTTTCTTTCTCTCAGATTGGTTATACCCCCTCCAAATCTAAAGCACACAATCTACTCTGCTATTTAACCCATAGTTATTGGTAGTAAAGAAGAGATAGATGTGTCTCTTTTCCAAGGACATTTCTGCGAAAGTAAACGCAACAGGGTAGGCGGAAAGCTGAACTCTTTGTGGGGATTACTCCCACCTTGTCTACCAGGACACCGCTAGTTGGTGCTGTTTAGGACTATAAAAGGAAGGATATAAACGCCGTCTTTCTCTTTACGCTCTAGAATGCGATAGGCAGACGTCGTCTCTTCCCCTCAGGAGAAATTTAATTCCCCAGGCTGCCGACTATTTTATGTTAACCCAATCCCATGATGTATCAAATACATACGCGTGTGAGCGCACACTTACTACCACTAATCCCATAAATGTTTTTCTTCCCTTTTCACTTGTCTGTACGCACGTAAATATCATTTTTCCCTCTCTCCCTTTGTGAACCATGTTATTCGTGATAGAAAATGTATAAAAGTCATCCACCGGCTGAATTAATTTACTTTGAAAATTCTCACACGTATCCACACCAAATGTAAAAAACATCCATTCTTAATCAACTATAGGAAATAAAAGGTATTTCCAACACAATTACATAGTTATATATAACATATTAAAGCAAACCCAAATTTGATGTTCAACCCAATAACAGACAATGTAACAAACATGCCAAAAGGATTACGCAATACAACACACTGTTTAAATCAAAGTGTCCATTGGTTAGAAATTAACATCAGTATATGAAATATTTGACCAAACAGAGAAAACTAAAACCCTATTTTTCTCAAGCTGGAAAATGTCCTGAAAAATTTCCTATGAAAAAGAATTAAATAAGAAAAATTAAATAAAAAAAAAAATAAATAAAAAAAATTAAATAAAAAAGTTCCTATAAAAATCCACAGCTCCAAGCCGAATAGAAAACGTGGATATATATATATATATATATATATATATATATATATATTCATGAATCATTCATACAAAAACAAATATAGAGGTTAATGATTTAATCATTAACTTCTGTATTTGTTTTTTGTATGAATGATTCATGAATTTATAAATTATACTTGCACCTTTTAATTGAAATATATATATATATATATATATATATATATATATATATATATATCAGAACCCCCACTCCACCCCCAGCAAGTGCAAAAAGAAAGATGTGTCGGTGACTTCAAACGAATTAGCTACAACACCTTGGACGGGTAGTGAATATTCGCTGATGATTAGGTGTCGGTGACTTCAAACGAATCTTCTCCAACAGCAACAACAACAACAACAAAGATAGTCAGTGAATCTTCGCTAACGATAGAAATATTTCTCAACCACAGGTTTTTTGGCGGTTTTTTCTGTGGACCAACTATTTAAAGTTCTTTTCTAAACTAGTTTTTCTATGGACCA